CATGATCAAATAGAATTTAGAAATGGAAGAATGGTTCAACATCAGAAAATACACTACTTTATAACATTAATATAGTGAAGGTCATTTATTCATTTTGAGAGAGAAGGCAATACTAACACTTCACAAAATTTTAGTAACCTAGGAATAGAAATATTTAATTTGATAAACAGTATTATCAAGAAGTCAATAGCAAACTTCATATGAAATCTTAAAGCACTAGAGATATAATGTCACTGGAATTAGAAACAAGACAAAAATGCTTATCATCATTAATATTGTTCAACAATGATCTGGAAACTCTAACCAATGTAGTAAGCACACAAACTTGTTTCATTCTCTTTCTCTGTGGATAGACACATACACACACGCACACATGCACACACACACACAACACACACGGAGATAATACATAAGGAGAGAAATACTAGAAAATATTAAGCAAAATGTCATGCTTATGTATCTAAAAAAAGATACAAAATTATTGACTTAAAAAAAACTATTAAACAAGAAATTTTAGTAAGGAGGACAGGTATAAGATAAAAATACAAATTACTAACAGCTTTTGTAGACACCAGCAGTAACTTATTAGAAAGAATCAAAAAGGACCCCATTTGTTTTACCAACAAAACTACCAACTACAGTGGAATAAATGTATCCAAAAATACACATGATGTGAAGAAAACTATAACTTTCTAGAATTATTAAAGGGCCCAAAAAAAGAAAAAAAGAACATGCTATTATTCTAAATGGTAAGATGAGACATAAAGATCACCTCAAATTTAAAAACTCTAACAGAATTTTTTTAAAGATTTTATTTATTTATTCATGGGAGACACACAGAGAGAAGCAGAGACATAGGCAGAGGGAGAAGCAGGTGAGGCAGAGACACAGGCAGAGGGAGAAGAAGCAGGCTGCATGCAGGGAGCCCAACGTGGGACTCAATCCCGGAGCTCCATGCCCTGAGCCGGAGGCAGGCGCCAAACCACTGAACCACCCAGGGATCCCCTCTAACAGGATTTTTTAATGGAAATTTGCAATGTAATTCCAAGTTTATTTGGATGAGTAGATTAGCAATGATTGAAAAGCAAATTATAAGAATAAAAATAATGAGAAGGAACTCCTTTAACAAAGTTTATGATAAAGCAAAAGTAATTAAAATAGTATAATATTGGCACAGAAATAGATCAATTGAATAAAATAATATTCAGATCCATATTAATTTTAAATTTAGTATATGAAAAAGTATGTCAGGTAGCCGGGGTGGCTCAGTGGTTTAGCGCCGCCTTCAGCCCAGGGCATGATCCTGGAGACCCGGGATCGAGTCCAACGTCGGGCTCTCTGCATGGAGCCTCCATCCCCCTCTGCCTGTGTCTCTGTCTCTCTCTCTCTCTGTCTCTCTCTCTCTGTGTCTTTCATGAATAAATAAATAAAATCTTTAATAAAAAAAAAGAAAATAAAAAGAATGTCATTTCAACCATTGTGGAAAGAATGGGCTAATCAAAAGTTTGAGATCAACTGGATGGCCATTTAGGAGAAAAAATTACAATTCTCTTCATACCACACATTTGAAAAACTAAAATCCAAAGGGATTAAATAGTGAAATGAAAAAAAAAGTAGAACTATAAAATTTCTAGAATAAAATATAGGAAATATTTAATAAAATTGAGAAAGATCTTCCTAAGTAAGGTACAAATCTCAGAAGCCACACACACACACACACACACACACACACACACACGCACACAAAGGTGGAGTGATGATTGCATAAAAATATAAACCTTCTGTAAAAGACATAATGAAGAAAGTATTCCTATTCCTAGTATAAGAACAACTCCTACAAATAAATAAAAGGCAACACCCAATAAGAAAAGGGCAAAAAATATGAACAAGTAGTCTTCAAAAACCCCAAATGCTAACACCTAATAAGTATTTGAAAAGATGTTCAGGGATCCCTGGGTGGCGCAGCGGTTTGGCGCCTGCCTTTGACCCAGGGCGCGATCCTGGAGACCCGGGATCGAATCCCATATCGGGCTCCCGGTGCATGGAGGCTGCTTCTCCCTCTGCCTGTGTCTCTGCCTCTCTCTCTCTCTCTCTCTCTCTCTGACTATCATAAATAAATAAAAATTTTAAAAAAATAAATCTGTTAAAAAAAAAGAAAAAAGATGTTCAGCTTTGCTGGCAATTAGAAAAATGCAATTTGAAAAGGTGATCCTATTTTTGTCCATTAAATTACAAAAAGTTAAACATATGGATGAAGTCCAGGATTGCCTAGGATATGGAGAAAGAAAACTCATACTTCTGGGGCAGGCTGAATTGTGACAGCCTGTTTGGAGTGACAAATAATTGTCAAAAAATAAATATCACAATGTGCCAAAAACTATCAAAAGTAAATATATATGTATATTTTAAAGATTTATTTATTTGAGAAAGAGAGAGTGAGAGAGCAGTGGGGAAGGGCAGAGAGAATCCTAAACAAACTCCATGCTGAGTGCAAGCCTAAGACAGGACTTGATCTTATGACCCTGAGATCACGACCTGAGCTGAAACCAAGAGTCTGTCACTTAACTGACTGTGTCACCCAGGCAACCCTCAAAATTAAAAATATTTTTAATTTGAAGCTTTAGATTTATACTCTATAGAGACACTTGTACAAGTGTGCAAGATTGTATATATAAGGCATATTATTTGTAATAGCTCAAACTATTAGAGCTCAATGTCAACAATAGAATGGCTAAATGGATGCTGAAGTAGTTATAAAATGGAAACTCCTCAGTCATTTAAAAATCAGAAGGTAGTCTGAATTATTAATTATTAAGTGAAAAACTTATCCAACTATATGTAAGGTAGGGCTTCATTTTGTGAAAACATATTAAGTATAAGCCTGAATATTCTAAAAAAAAGTCTGGATAGATACCAAAAGTTTGACTGTGTTTACTGCTTCAGGATGGGTGTGGAAAGAGGTAGGGCTGTATTGTAAGTGATTGGTGATTTTTACTTTTTACATTATAAATTATTTATATATATGTATGTGACCTATAAATAATTCCATGAGATACTGTGCAACAAAAATAATAGAAATAAAGTGGATGTATACAAAAGAATATGAGAAGAGGGTCAAGTGTACAAAAATATATTTCACAGAAATTACAATTTATAGCTAGATAGAATGGAAATAAACTAGAACTCCCCTAAAACCTAAACAAGAAGGAATTTGAACCCAAACCCATTTTTTATGCATTTGTATGAATTGCAAGCCCACTGCAAAATTTAGGGACTTAACGGATACCCGATCCACACATATTTCTAGAACAACAACAAAAAATAGTGGAGCATTGAAAGATTCATGCATTCTGTTTTGGATCTGGGCCCACCCACAAAGTGAAAAACACCACAGACATCGATGCCTTGCCTCTAGAATTCCTCTAGATTATCATCTACCTTTTCATTCCAGAAAAGCTATTCTTCACTCTGAGCTTAGTTGGAGGAGGAAAAGAACAAGAAGAAGGGGAAGAAGGAAGAAAAGAAGGAGGAAGAGATGAGGAGGAAGAGGTGGTGGAAGAAGAGATTTGCCCCATAATACAAATACAGTTCTAAAGCTGAATGATCACCCCCAACACACACAGCTGTAAGGCTACAGATCTAGCCGAAAACTGCAAGTATATTTGGTCTCAATTTGGACTCCAAGTCAACACTAAGTAAGGTGGCTTTTGCTTTCATTTCGATGCTGGCAGGCTGAGTCCAGGGACCTGGAGGTGTCCTGCAGGACCACCCAAGAGGGCCCCTGGCTTCACACAAGATGGAAATGAAAGGTGAAGCAGCAGGAGATGAAAGCAGAGTTTATTGAAGATACAGACAGAACAAATAACAGATGGAGTGAGTATCTGGGAGACTCAGAAAGGAAAGGAGGGGGTCTCCCCTATATTAGGGGCCTGGGGTTTTTACTGGGCACAGTGGTCTGGTGTATGCATCCTCTCAGGTTTCCAGGAACCAGTTAGAACAAAGATGAGAGCCTAGGTGTCATTCCTTGGAGCCAGGGGGTCTTGGAGATAGATGTCTAACTTCTGGTGGTATGGAATTGGCATGTGATGGCCTCCTCTGTCATTCTCACTGGGTCCTTTCTCAGATGTTATTTATCCCAGAGAACCATTAACTCCTTGTCTCTTATAATGCACGTGTAAGGTGGGGTGGGGGTGCAGATCCTAGCAAGGATAGAAGCAGGAAGAGAAGCAAAAAGCAGATTTTTATGGAATCTTTCATTTTGCCAGTTTCAATTTCAGTAGTTTCTTTAAAAGAGGATATACATTTTTTATAACTAGATAGAGCCAAACAAAAGCCCGAATTGACTAGACAGTCATAAAATTTCATATAATGATAGGATTATCTAAAGTAATCAGAGATTTGGCATTGCTTTCAGTTCAATGAGTTTTTCTTAAAATTGAGCAGCTTGGCTAGAGAAGATTTATTAATTCGGAGTTTGTTGTCCTAGGGCAATCGAAGAAACTTATAGCAATGACTAATGTTCATCAAAATTTATGAATCCCTGTTGTAATTGTGACTTTAAAAGACTGAATAGTCTTATAGTATTTCAAAATCTGATTTCACTGAGCCAAAGGCAATTCCTCAATGTGAAATAAGTGAGGACTTCAGGTAACATCTGCAAAATCCACACAATTTGAGTCTCAATACCTGTACCTCCTTGAAAAAATACATGATATATTTGTTTTTCCTTTCCCAGACTTCAGTTCCATTTCCTCACTTTCCAGCCACATCAGTAAGAAAATACAATCCTTTGAGCCATGATGGAGATTCTCAAGTTATATTATAGAAGCATTTATTCCCAAAGACCAGGAGCCAAGACAACTTCAGTTAAAAAAAAAATACATCAATGTAATTTCCTTTATTTAGCTACTCAACTGCTTTAAAATAAACAAATGTTGTGGGGCACCTGGGTGGCTCAGTCAGTTGAATGTCAAGTGTCGGACTCTTGATTTTGGCTCAGGTCATGATCTCAGGTGGTAAGGTTGAGCTCTGCATAGGGCTCTGTGCTGAGCATGGAGTCTACTTGTTCCTCTCCCTCTGACCCTCTTCCTCCATGTGTGCTCTCTCTCTAAAATAAATAAATAAAATCTTTTTTTAATTAAAAGAAATATTTCTTCAAGTTCTTTCAAAGATCCCATATGTTGGTGGCAATGAAAGGCATTAAAACAAAGAAAATTCACATGCTCCATCACATGGGAAAATGTCTCACACTTAACAAGTTAAAAGCACAAATATCAAAAAAAAAAAAAGGCATAAATATCCAGAGACTGAAACAAAAGAAAGAATAAAGAGATGGACCTTCTTTTCCTTTGTCTTACGGGTGTTGTATCTGTGCCAAATAAGCCCCTCTATATCTGGGAACATGTAGAACAAAGATCAAGTAAAAGGAGATAGGAAGAAAACACAGTACTTCAAGAGAATGTCTTATAAAGTAATAGGTTTCGTACTTGCCAATGGCTGATGATCTCTGCAGGCAAATACAAAAGAGGATTTCTAAAATATTTGATCTGCAGTGGCCCAAAACATATGCTTAAGTAGTCAAGTTTCCAAGATGACTACTTTAAAAGCTCATACTCCTTTTGGGTGAGATTGTTTTTAAAACAGCATCATTATCTTATCTTTTCCTAATAAATCTAATTCTTTAATATCCTTTAAAATAGCTGATAAAAGGGAAAAAGAGCCCTGGTAATAATTGCAATTCATTTTTAAAACATTTTTATTTTGAAATAATTATAGATACCAAGGAAGTTGCAAATGTGGTATAAAGAATCCCATGTGCCCTTCATGGTGCCCTCTTACATGGCTATGGTATAAATCGAAACCAGGAAACTGACCTTGGTACATCACTACTGATGTACCAATCACAGGTGGTCGGTTACTCAGTTGCTGCCATTTTTGCGACCTGTATTCATTTGTGTGGGGAGAGGGGAAGGTGTAGTTTTATACAATATAATCTCATGTATATTGATTGCACCACTGCATCAAATTCAGCAAAATAATTTCCTGGTGCTATTACTTTGTTTTAATCTCCCCCACCTCATCCCCTCTGTGTGTCATCTAGTTACCATTAACCTCTTTTCAATCTCTATAGTTCTATTATTTAAAAGACATAATATAAATAGAATCTTGCTGCATTTAGCGTCTTGAGATTGAGTTTTTTCACTCAGCATAATGCTCTTGACGTCCATTTGGGCTGTTTTCCTGTACCAATAGTTTATTCCTTTCTATTGCTGAGTAATATTCCATTGCATATCATACAGTTTGTTCAACCATTCACCCACAAAAAGAGCATTTGGGCTGTTTTCAGTCTTTTGCTAGTCAGAATAAAGCTTCAGTGAACACGCACGTACAGGTTTGATGTGAACATGAGTTTTCTTTTTTTTGAGATACACATCCAAGAGTGTGATTGCTGAATTTATGTTTACTTTTGTAAGAAAATGCCAAACTGTTTTCCAGAGTGGCTGTACATTTTAAATCTCCACCTGCACTATATGATAGATCTAGTTTTTCTATATCCTGACCAGTGGTATAATCACTTGTGGCTCAGTTGGTTGAGTGTCCTATTCTTGATCTCAGCTCAGGTCTTGATCTCAGGATTGTGAGTTCAAGCCCTGCATTGGGCGCTGCACTGGGCATGGAGACTACTTTAAAAAAGAAGAAGAAGAAAAAGAAGACACCTGGGTGGCTCAGTCAGCTAAGCATCTACCTTTAGCTCAGGTCATGATCTCAGGGTCCTGGGATTGGGCCCCACTCAACAGGGAAGTCTGCTTCTTCCTCTTCTTCCCCTCCCTTTACTCATGCTCTCTCTCTCTCTCTTAAATAAATAAATAAAATCCTTAAAAAATGTATATATATACACATATATACACACATATATATACACACATACTTAGAAAAAATCTGGAAGTATATATTAAAAATAATAGTTCTTTCTAGATAGTGATTTAAACATTCTCCTTTTCCACAATGAGTATTTCTTATAATTTTTTTCAAAAGTTTATTTTAAAAGTTTTCTTTCAAAAGTTTTTGTTTAAAATGTGAAAGCCAATTACCACTCATCTTTTGTGTTTTCTGTTGTTGTTGTTGTTTTAAAGATTTTATTTATTTATTTTAGAGAGAGAGAGCACACGGGGAGGGGCAGAGGGAGAAGGAGAGAGAATCTCAAGCAGACTCCCTGCCAAGAGCCTGACAGGGGGCTTGATCTCAGGACCCAGAGATCATGACATAAGCCAAAACCAAGAGTCAAACACTCAAGTGACTGGGCCATCAAGGCATCCCATGGTTTTTAAAATATTTATTTATTTATTTATTTATTTATTTATTTATTTATTTGAGAGAAAAGACAGAGACAGAGAGAGTGAGAGTGAGAGTGAGAGCAAGCTTGAACTTGAACTTGAACCCCAACATGGGACTCGATCTCATGACCCTGAGATCATGACCTGAGCTAAAACCAAGAGGCAGATGTTCAACCTACTGTGCCAACCAAGCATTCCTGTTTTCCTGTTTGTTTTTTGTTTTTTAACTATGCTAAATATGGGGCTCAAACTCAGGACCCCAAGATTAAGAGTCACATGCTCTACTGACTAACCAGCCAGACACCCCCAGCTACCACTTATTGAGCTGTAATATGTGGTAGGTGCTTTATAGACATTGCCTAATTGAATTTTTGAAATGACCTTATGAGGTAGGTGCTGTTATTCTTTACAAAACAAGAAGTTGAAATCCAGAAATGTTAAAAAAAAAAAAACTTTTAAAATGTCATGGCCAGGGAGGTGGGTGGGGGATGGGCTAGATAGGTGATGGGTATTAAGGAAGGTACTTGTTATGATGAGCACTGGGTGTTGTATGTAAGTCATGAATCATTGAATTCTACTCTAGAAACTAATACTCCACCGTATGTTAACTGACTAGAATTTAAATTAAAAGAATTTTTAAATGCCATGGCCAGAAAGTGGTACCAAAATGTAAACCCCATGAGACTGAGGATGTTGTCTGTTTTGTCCACTATTATATCCCTAGGATCTAGAACTCACTAAATATTTTTAAATGAATAATAGGCAGAGCCAGGCTTTGTACCCAAATATGTCTTACTCCAAAACCTCTATCCAAATTCTTGCTCTAAACCAACATTCCAAAGAAGACCTTCTGCAGTTTATGACCTTGATAAATGTGTTCCTTCACTCTTAACTTATTTCATTTAGAATAGGAAGAAATGATTTTAAAAAATGAAAAATGTATGCAGAGTATGAGAATGCTCTAGGAAATATGAAGTCTCATGATAGGTAAATGTGCTGCCCTGGTCAATAAATAAATTAGTTTATAGATAAGCTCAACAAACTTTGTAACATTTATATTTTATTTAACATGGTGTTTGTAGCCATTGCTAGGAAAATTTGGATATTTGACCCTATGTTATGAGTTCAATTCTGAATTTATTATACTATTATTTCTATGGAAAAACTCAGCTTATCTCGTGGAATTCTGACTTCTAGTGGCTTCTCTAGAAGTATAGCACCATTGGAAGATGAATATTTTTGATAGTGCTATTCAAAATCATAATTAATTCCTTAATAGTTACATAGCCTTTTAAATTGGCATGAAATATTATTCTAGGAAGAAACCTGATATTCAAACTAGAATTTTGTGATAGATGTAGCAATGTCAACCTGAATTAGAATAAAGCTTCAACTTATGACAAACATTTCTAGTTCCTGATTAAATTTTACTAATAGAAACATAATATCGTAATTACTAGACCTCAGCTAAAAGACCAAGAAGCATGAGTTAGGCACAGTTATTAAATTTATGAAAGGCCCACTTTCTTTTTTTTTTTTTTTTTTAAGATTTTAGTTATTTATTCATGAGAGACACGCAGAGAGAGGCAAGAGACACAGGCAGAAGGAGAAGCAGGCTCCCTGCAGGGAGCCCGATGCGGGACTCGATGCTGGACACCGGGATCATGACCTGAGCCAAAGGCAGACGCTCAACCACTGAGCCCCCCAGGTACCCCTGGCCCAGTTTCTCATAAAGCAATGTTAGATCCCAAACTTCCTGTCGTTGTTATTACCCCACTGCATGTTGCTGACTAGGGTAAGGCATGAAGAGAGGGATTGAAGATGATCTTACTACAGACATGCCCTCTATCATCATTTTGACTTAATGTTTTTGGGGAATTCAGGCCAGTGTAAAGAGAGAGATGAAACAAACCTAAGAGATGAAACAAACCTAAAAGAGAGCAATAGTGGAAGAAACAAAACCATCACTATTTGAAGACAACTGATTATGTATCTAACAAAATGCACAAGGAATCTGTCAAAATTTTTAGATTTAATACAATAATAAATGGCCAGACAAAACATAAAATATAGAAAAGCCATTTAGATTCTTGAATAACAATAATTACAAACTAGAAAAGACTAATTTTAAAAAGGATCCAATTTACAACAGCAATAAAATATAGATAAAGAGAAACAGAGTTAATAAGAAGGGTTTATTAAAATAATAAAACATCGGGCAGTAACATCTAGAAAGAAAAAATACTGTAAAGATGTGATTCTTAGTGTTACTTTCGAATCTAGTGCAATCTCAAAATAAAAATGGACTTCTTAGCATTTAAATTTAAAGAATGTTATAATATTCAGTTAGAAAAGAGGTGGGGATAACAAAAATATTCTAAAAATGAGAAAGGAAATGAGCAAACAAAAGAGAAATATAAGTCAGTGAAACAGAAGAGAAGTCTCAGAAATAAACCCAGTTGTATATAAGGATTAAGAAATGACCAAGTGCAATATAAAACTATAGAGATGATTTTTAAATACATATTTGTGGAAATCATTCATTAGAAATTTGAATTAAATTATTTTAGATCAAATATTTTGGAATCCCCCCCCAAAAAAATATACCAGAAGTCTTAAGTAACTAAGTACTTTTGTTTTTTTTTAACTAAGTACCTTTAAACTCATAATTAAGTGAATAAACAAGAGTGAATGTTGATCAGATCTCAAGAGATACGATAATTTTCCTTGACTTTGAGGCAAGAAAAGAAACTACAGGGGGAAGAAGGATCATGCTTTCCTACATAACGTTAAAAAGATCTATTCAACTTAAAAATAGGAAAACGAGATAGAAATTAGAGAAATCCGTTAATTTTTTGATTACTGGAACTTTTATGGCCTGTTGTATCCTCTGCACTTCGCACAGTGCCAGGCACATAGTAAATGCTCAATAGATATTTGTTGAACGAATGTTGCAATAATTAACTAAGCAGACTTTGATTAATTATATAAGACAAGGAAGTGACCCTAGAGTCCAATTAGCCAGCTGCAACTAGGAATGGTGAGCACAAATTAATTTCTTTGGCCCAGATGCATAAGAACCATGAACAGGAGGCCGCCTAATCAGCTGTGGAATGGACAAGAGGTGGGAACAACAGGTGGGCTGTGGTGCGCTATCAGGCCAAATCATGTCACACTAGAAGCATTAACTGTTGGAGGGTGATAGCGGCCAACATGCCACACGGGTCTGGGGCAATCAGCAAATGAATGGCTTGACTCAATCAAGAAATCTTGTTCAACTTGGGAGGCCGAGGGACCAGGGTGCTGAATGACAGGACTTATAAACAGCAGACTGAGCTGTTAAACAAAGGGTGTGATTGTGTTTGGAGAGAAGAAAGAGAGGACCACATACTTCTTGTCAGTCTTTTTCTAGGATGATTATTCAATGGAGTGAAACATCCTTAAGCACTTAGGCTTGATGGTTGCTGCCTTTTCCATCTGAGACAGTCGGGGGAATTTTAACATCAGTATATGATTGTTCCCAATGTACAGTAAAAGAAATATTCGTTCAAAACCGTTCAGCAGTAGGGGAGCCTGTGCAGCAAGGTGTTCTGCTTTATTTCCAGTCTGTTTTGTGCTAATGGCTCACAGCATTCAGGTTATTTTTGCTGGATCAGTAAATGAATTGAGCATCATTTGGATAAGGCTAAAAACTGATCAGCAAGGTTTTGTCAAGATCTTGCTTTCTCTTTCGTCGTTGGAAACATAGAGAACCAGTCTAATGTTTGCTAATGTGATGAATCTATGTGTTCCCATCTTTTTAGCCCTGTTTTCCCAGGGTGCTGAAAATAAACACATTGACAGAAATTAGGAGCACACAACTGTCCATCTTCACGGCATGTCTGGATCCAGTGTTTCTCTGCTCTGATGATACCCCCATAGGCTTATCCAGAACAATTGCTCATCTGTCATCCAGACTGGAGGATAGTCAGCTCTTCAAAAGGAGTTGAAAATTTTTTGCAATTATTACTTGACCAGCATATAGGTAACTTGATGGAATGGATCCAATAAGTTGGCAAGCCATTCATTTCCTAGCTATCCATATAGCAACTTCCTCAGTACAATGAGGAAAGGAGAGCAGATTTTTCAAAAACTATTTGTGAAATAGCTGGTAATGACAGGACCAGTGTTTGGCACATGTAAAATAGATATTTCTACATAGTGGTAGGATGAGAGAAACTGTTATGTCAAATATTTTTAACTTCCATGATAAAATTGGAATAATATCAAAAGTGATTATAATCTGAGGCAGTAGAATTCAATTTTCCTTGCATTATGGAGATTTCTCTGAGCAGACCCAGGTTAAACGATTGCTCTGAGGTTTGATGACACACTGATTCCTAGTGCCAACAATGACTTCAGCCTGATGGCAACCTTTACAAATTGCTTCCTGTAAATTCTTTGTGAGAATAACAAGCAATTTATTTTGCTTGAGAGTGACTTTTAGCGAAGGGCCTCCACCCAACAATCTGGATTTAATAAAACAAAATACACTTTGGTATTACAGACATATTTTTTTTTGAGATGTAAGTTCCCCACATAAGTTTTTGTAAGAGGAAAGCATTTTCATTTTACAGTCCATGAAAGCCAGATGGATCCTTATGCATAGCCAGCCACCTATTATTTAGTTTATCTGGTCGGTTGTGGGGAAGAGTGGCAGGGGACAGAAGGCCACTGAAGAATTACATGGGTGTGTGTTCGTGTAAGATTTTCAAGTTAATATTTACAAAAGTCTTTAAAGCCACAACAAGAACAATGCTTGGTCATTCCACCATTTGTTCATTTGCTTATTCAGCACATGGTACTTACTGAGCAAAAGGAGCTCTTGTAGGCTCTGCAGGGTACCATAGTTGAACAAAATAGACAATACTCTTGCTTTCATGAAACTTATATTCTAGTGAGGAAAGAGAAATAAGCCAAAAATTACCCAAAGAAAAAGAGTTTTTAAAGAGAACTCCATGTTTTTAATGGATACAGGAATTATTTATTTATAGAAGAGTAGGTATTAGGAGAACGTGTCTTTGTGACTGGTAGTAGATAAAATCATATTAGTAAATATTTAAGCTAGGATTGCTCAGACACTGTGTATATAATTTATGACCTTGTTCCTGAACTCAGAGAGTTTACAATGTCAACCTGCAAGGTGTTCCTGCACATCATGTAGACAAAGAAGAAAGGAAGAACCATCAGATTTTTTGGTGTACCATCTGAATCAGAACTACCTTGTCTTCACAGTCACAGTCAGTATGAAGTAGGTTTAGAATTCTTGGGCCTTTTGGGACTTAAATAAAGATAGGAATTTTTTGACACTCTGTGTCTTCTATTTGGTAAAAAACAAAACAAAACAAAACACCCACAACAGTATCATTGGCACGACAGAGAAACTCTGTGTGTGTGTGTGGGGGGGGTGCGTGCGTGCGTGCGTGTGTGTGAGAAAGAATGTCCAATCCACTTTGCTCATTTTACTGAACTATGATTAAAGGCCTCAAAAAAAAAGTTTTTATTTAAATGGAAGATAGTGAACACACAGTGTTGCATTATTTTCGGGTACACTATAGTGATTCAACAATTCAATACATGACCCACGATAAAGGTTTGACTGGGTTTTTTTGTTTGTTTTTTTAACAAACATAAAAAGAAGGACCTTGGCCCTTATGAGGTAAAGACCTTAAGAACTCTTTAGAACACCACCTCTGGAATCTCTGCTCTGTCTTCTATTCCCACTAACTCTTTCTTCAACTTTCCTCTTTTCAATGTTCTCTGCCAGCTGCAATCATAAATCAAAGTCTACGATCATCTCCAGATACATCGGCCTCAGGTCTTGTGAAATCAAAATCACTTCATGCTTCTGCTATCCTCCGGTCCATCAGAACTACAACACTCACCTCCTCAATCTGGTTACTGAAGAAATAACATTCTTAAGGACCTTTCTCATGTCCCTGACCACCATTGCTTATGGTTCAAAATTGTGCCTCTGAGCCTTTCTTCTCTAAGAACATGCATTCACCTAGCAAACATGTGGCTCACATGGGACAACTGGGGCCTACAAAGAAATTGAAGGTGCATGGTCCCACTTTTATAAAGTTTATGGTTGAGGAGAGGGCCAGCTACACAGATAGCTCTAAAACAAGGCAGAAACGGGTAAGCACCATAAAAGAGAGACAAATGAAGTGCCATGTTTGCTTAGGAAGCTTCTGGTGAGGAGCCTCAGGATAGCAGCCTGTAGCAAGACTTTAAAGGACAGGTAGGATTGCACCAGAACGGGGATGAGCAAGCAGATGTGAGTTTATCTTTTTATTTTATACTTTGTTCTCTTCTGAGTACACTATGCAGTCCTTCTCATTTTTATTTATATTCTTCAGATGAGCCTTTCCTAATAAAAAAAATCTTTTTAAATCTCATAAACCTCTTTTTAATTTTCTTCCATTAATATTACTTTAAATCTTTAATAAGCTCGCTTTTAATTGGGTATTTAATCAACTTTACAGTGAAAGTTAAATAGGAATATCTAAGTAACAATAGCAATATAAACTTTCTTCAAAAAAAATCTCAAATCTTGTGTTTTCATAAACCCTAAGACTTTTCCCATTCTATTGCTTGCATAAAAAATAATTGTGCATAATTTTTAGGAACCAGTATTTATCATTCTGAATTGTACATTTTTTTCTCATCTGCTATTGTTTTCTGCAGTCCTTAACCCATTTTTTATGTTTCTCATATTTATCATTTCTACCAGCAATATAATGTTTTATTATATCAATGTATCACATTTGATTTGCTGTGTTCTTATTTCCCTATAGATGTGGGGGAAGATGGGGGAGGAGGCTTTTTCTCATTTTTAGATGTACTAGTGAGTATTTCCACACACCCTGTATGCCTTTTCTTTCCTCTCAATTATCTCCTCAATATAGGATACATTTTCTAAAGTTAAACAGGGTAATATATAGTGTATGACTAAGGGTGTGAGTGCTGGCAGTCTGGCTATGCTTGAATCTTGGCTCTACCACTTACTGTCTGAGAACTTGAGCAAATTACTTAACCTCTCTGAGATAGAGTGTCCTCATCTAAAAAATAGGAGTAATAGTAGTACTCATGTCACATGATTAATGTGAGAATTTTACAAGTTAAATATACATATAAACCCTTAGGACTATGCTTCACACATCATAAATGTTCAATAATGGTAGGATTTTTTTCTAAGATTTTTTTTTTTAGATTTTATTTATTTATTCATGAGAGACAGAGAGAGAGAGGCAGAGACACAGGCAGAGGGAGAAGCAGGCTCTATGCAGGGAGCCTGACATGGGACTCGATCCCAGATCTCCAGGATCAGGCCGTGGGCTGAAGGCAGCACTAAACTGCTGAGCCACCCGGGCTGCCCTAAAGATTTTATTTTTACGTCATCTCTATACCCAATGTGAAGCTTGAACCCACAACCCTGAGATCAAGAGTCACATGCTCTACTGACTGTGCCAGCCAGGTGCCCCTTGATAATGGTAGGTAGTTATTAATTATATACATTTCCCGGCATACTGTTCATCGCATTCTAAAATTCAGTAAATGCAATTTCCTTGTTTTCATCCATCCAAATTACTACAATTTGGACAAAGTACTTGATCATTTCTATTAATCATGGAATTATAAGCTCAGGGTTGGGAAGAATTTTAAAGATTTAGTCTCTGGCTCATGTCAGATATGTTCAAGATGCTTTCCAGAAAAAGAACATTAGCTTACAGAAGCATCAGAGGCCTCCAAACCTTCATCTTTGTGTATTGTTATTTTTATTTTATTGGTATAAAAATTCTACCTATGTTTATCACATTTGTATTTTTCAATTGTAAAAGATGGAGCCCTTGGGTTCAAGTAAAACACTTCAGACTTTTACAAGAAGGAAAGGTAGGGGGACAGCTGGGTGCTTGTTTCCTCCTTCTGTCTCTGGCATCTGCTCTTCTCTGTTCATTAGTTTCATTTTTCAACCTGGCTTCCCCCTGCCCAGTAAGAAACCTGGCCCCTGGGAGCTCCCAGGCTTCCTTTGACAGTGACCACATGTCTTTATCAACTCCACATGCCCAGGAAAGGAGTCTTATTGGCCTGGCTTGGGTCAGTTGCTCACTTCAAAACCCATCAACTGTGGCTAGGGATTTGGCCACTGTAACCAGTGATCCCTGTCAGAGTCATTTATCTGAAGTGGAAGGAAAAGCATTAACCTGAAGGCAGAATGCTAAGCAGAAGGGTCCTGGCCAACTTACCAAATGATAAGTTCTATTAACTCAAGTGATGAGAGGGGCTTGATATGTTTCATATCTGGTTACTGTTCTTGTGTAAACCTCTTCCTCTTATGTAAAATGTTCATATATTTGACCATTTGTCATCAAAATATATTTTTCCCTTATACATTTATGTCATAATGAAGCACCTGGGTGGCTCAATCAGATAAGCTCCAACTCTTGATTTCGGCTCAGTCATGACCTCAGGGTTGTGAGATTGAGCCCCATGTTGGGTTCCATGCTGGGCGTGGAGCCTGCTTAAGATTCTCTCTCCCTCTGCCCCTCCTCCTCAAAACAAATAAACAAACAAACAAATTTATGTCATTTCCCTAAAGATTTTGGGAATACAACTGTGCAACTACTAAAAAAATTTAGAATAGCATCAGGATTATTGAAGAACTACCATGTTTAAGGAGTTGCTCTTGGTATTATGAAAAGTTTAGAGAGCTGCATTACTGTAGAGAATTTAGTTTCTAATGGGGTTGAATATATAAATAAAAAATGAAATAAGAAAGGCTGTACACTAGTTGCTCCTCAACTATGGAGACTACGTTCTTAAGAACTCTAAGGCAGAAGGCCTGTGGTTCAAGAACTTAAATCCCTATGATAGAAATCATGTTGGGGGAAATGCTACTTGGAATAAACCTCTGAACGCCATTTAGTTCTCTTGAACTAAAATAAATAGGACTTTTATACATCTTACCTTCATAATCATGACTACTACATGGATATTCAACCCTTTATCATTTCATACTCAGAGGCAAGATATCTTTCAGGACCTTCTTTCCTATAGTTTCATTAAGATATTTGTAAATCATTCTGTAGGACTGTTAAAAAATACCCCTAGTGAGGGGTTGGTCCTCCTCTGAATGTTGGAGGTCTTATTTTATGACTTGGTGGTTTCTATCAGACACATTAGTATCTTTTCTATATTCCTTACACACCAAGGGCTTCCTAACAAGTATCTATGACTTTGCCTTAAGGGCTTCTTCTGGCTGCAGAAGCAGATTTGGTCAGGGACAGGCTAGAAGTGCTGGAGATGCAACACCTTCAGGAGCAAAAGGAATCAATAGAAAAATTCACCAGTTCTCACCTCTTGGGTGGGATGCCTCGAGGTGGGGCTTTACAGTGTGCCAGAGGTCTCTAGAGGGACTGGGCCCTAGCTGACTACAGCAGTTATGTGTTTATTAACACTTTGCATTGACCTCCTAGGATGGCATCTAAACAAACAGCTTGCCTTAAAATCCGTGTTTCAGGTTCTGCTTTTGGGGGGAACTAAACTCGGGAGGAAGTTTGACTCCCAGCTTCTAGTCTCTGCCTCCTAAATATCTAGGTCCTCTCTATTTTCAACTTCCATTTCTCTCTTTCCCTAGTTACCCAGGGAAGGAGAAGGAGGGAGCTGCAATTTACCTATCCCAGGACTGAAATTCTACAGTTGCTGATAAAATATACATCTGTGTATATTAAATAAGAATTATGTCTAAGAGAATGTCACGGTTAGGGAGTCTAAAATGGTGGGTCAAAAAGGAAGTAGAAATATAACCTGAGCAATCACAGAAGGCTTCACAGAGAGGTCTAGTCCTATCACCCATTTTACAGATGGGGAAACTAAGATCCATATGGTTAAATGACTGACTCAGAGTCCTACAGCTTATAATTGGTGACCAACCCCCCACTCCTCACCCCTCAATCCCTTCTGTGCTCCACCCCATGCTGCCCACTCACCATTTGTCCAGAGGCAGTCTTGCCTCCTCCTTTGTCTTTTGTTGGCCTTGAAGTTTGCCATGGGGACAAAGCCTGGAAAAGGATGAGAACAAATAGCACATTCTCCTAAGCACTCTCCAAGTGCACAATATCAGCTGTCCCGGGAGGGTTTTGATATGGGTTGAAAATATTGTTTTGTCTTAAATCTTGGAAAAAAATCTCGTTGCATGGAATTTTTTTCTCCAGAATTAATCATGGGTAACATACTCTTTATCCTTGTTCTTTGATGAAGCAGAAAACAAAATAGCCATTGTAGGCACCCTTTGTTTACACCCAGGGACTAATGACGTTGTACACCCCTCCCAACCGAGCAGCCCTTGGGTACTGGTCTCTCTGAAGAGTGCTGAACGCCCAGGCTGCTGACTAAGCCTGTCCCAACCCCAACTTTTGCCAAGGAGACAATTCCTCTGTTTGTTCTTGAGCTTGGTCATATCAAATATTCTCAACAAGTTCTTCCAATTTCTGTTTTTAAAATAAAAATCAAAAGACCAGCACATTCCTTTTATGTTTGTGCAAATGAAGCAGAGGGAAGAAGCTGGTGAAACTCTAGCAAAAGCCTTTTGATATGTAACTTGAGCGATTGCCTACTGAAGTCCTAAAGTACAAATTAAACTATATTTATTATGTATTATAAATATATTTGTTTCTGATTTCAAGATTGTATTTTGGGTCCTGCTATACACTGTGGAATCAATATTCTAAGAATGAGTCTGTCTTTGTTAACCTCCAGTAATAGTGGAGGCATTATTGGGGATTCACTAAAATACAACTTTCTCTTCCTACACCATGCTTTGTTTCAAAGGGGGGGGGCATCATTAGTGCACTTAGTGTCCACTCTAGACAGTGCTATTCATCATGAAGTCATTTCAGGCAACCCAGCATCAGATGAGGGATGCATTGACACTATACCACGCACACTACACTGTTTGGCTCTCATTTTCCACCTTGTTTCATGTTTGACTTGGATCTAATCAGGCATGTCTCACTACAGAAAACATTCTTTTTCCTCAAAGATTTTTAGGACCTGGACTGTGTGCTGCTGCAAGGCATAGTTGTAGGATCTTCACAGAAGGTCCTCAGCCTGCCTCAGAACGTGGCTTGGATGTAGTATATATGTCCCCAACTAGAAAATAGATGCAACTTCTATCCCATTCCTCTTTCCCTAAAATTGCCCCTCACTGCCCCTACCAGGGTCTCTGCTTCTCTTACAAGGGACTCACTGTAGAAAAAAATGGGAGCCTCTAGAAAATGAGGAGTACTTAAGGAAAAAGAAGAAATTCTAGGAAGCAGGAACAGCTTGGGGGAGCTGTTTCCAGGAGCAAACATCCAGCCAGGGATGGGCCTTGTTTTTGGGAAGCACCTCCTTTGAAAACAAACATAACAAATATGTAAAAAGAAAGGGGGAAAACCTTCTAGAAAAACACTGGGCTCATCTGTCATTTTCATCTTAATATGGTTTGGTTCAACCAGATTGCAATTCTTACAGACCAGCTGCACCAGGAAGATGGAATTTTGTTTGCTGGGGAAAGACAAGTAGATAATTCTAGAGCATGGTGACCTTCTGGAAGAGGGACAGGGGTGCACTTGTGTGTGTGTGTGTGTGGGCACAGGACACCCTAAAAGAGGTATGAAAAGGAAATAAAAAAACACCCAAAGCAAACATCACTAATTCAACACGTGCCCTAAGAAAGGTGTTAATTGTCTGCCCTATGTTCCTTCTCCTTCATCTCTTTCTCCTCCTTATGCTCTCCTTTCTCCTCCCTTTTGAGTTTTGGGTCTGTAGCCCTTGTTCCTAGAAATTTAAACCAATATTATTAGTATAAGAATTTAGCAGCATTATTCATTAAGTTGGCTTTTCTGGGAGTATGCTATAAATCTGTCACAGTAACTTATAATATTACTAATGGCCAATAATTAATAATTACGATTCTCCTCTGTCTCCTCCTCCTCGCCAGCTAAGCTTCTTTAGGGATCTTGTGTCAAGTTCCAAATTTTTGTACACTGCAGTCCCCAGGCTGGACAACGAAAGAATTCAAGGAGAGGGGGAAACAGACAGGGTGCAAGGGCGCTGGCTTTGGACATGCAGATCGGGTCCCATACCTCAGGGTCAGGCCGAGAGGGTGAGTGGAATCTGAGACCTAGTCTGTGCTCTGCTATCCAGGCTGACTATCTCGGCTGATAGCAGCATCTGCAAGGCAGATGGGGCATCTTTTCTCATTCGCACAGAGGTTGTGGGCTGGCCATGGCCCTGTGCCTAAGATGGGCCTAACACTGATCACCAGAGCCAGTGACAGCATGCCCAGGAGACGCTACACCTTTTTTGGAGGAGTTCCAAAACCAACATTCGGGAGTGTCGAGGCCAAGTTGAAGAATAAGCATCTTGGGGAATGGTGGGGAGGAGATGCACAATCCAGCATTCAGGTTCAGCAGGATGCCTCCAGCTAAGCAGCTCCTTTCTTGCCTCTCTCTGGCAGCTTTCGTTACATTGCCTTCACCTCTGGTGTCTTCAAGGTACTCTGGTTTGTACCATTGATATTTCCCCTAAAAATTTTCAGAAATTCAGTTTGGTTATAGGCTGAGTCCTACCGGAATTGAAGGAGCTCTTAGAATTTCCTCTTTATCTCCATCTCCCTCGTTACTTCTCTTTAATGCCTACAGTCAAGCCTGGTCCTTTAACAAGTAATCAGATTTGCCAGATTCTTGATTTGACCTGAGAACAGCTTTAAGCAAAGCTTGTTAGAAAGTGAGTTACAGTGTGGCTTGTTCGTCTGGAGCCTATGGAGGACGTTACAGCTGCCACAGCAGGACAAGCCGGCTTTGTTCGTCCTGAACCACGGCAGTGTCTCATGCTCTTCCTTGCTCTCTGTTTAGCACTTCATCTTTATCTAATCTTTAACAAAGCGTAGTCTGTGCAGGCAGTGTGTGGTAAGCATAGTGAATCAGCCCATCCTTCTGGAATGTGGCAGCAGTGAACAGGGCCTAAATATTTATTTCAAATATAATCTATCCTGTAGCCCTCCACATCCAAGGATTTTCCAGTTTAAAATATCTATAGCCCTATAATTCATATGGCTTTTGCCGTAAGAGGCCATGCAAATGGACTCAAGCATCACAGTCCCTGCCAAGGGAAGAAACCATACAGCTGGCCCTTCTAGGGATTGCATAGAGACAGAAGGGGACTCTGCTTTGAGCGAGACTGCCGCCTAAGACGGTGCATATTGCTGGGCTACTGTGGTCTGGATGGCTATGAATGGAGGACAGAATGGAGTAGGTTGTCTATAGTAACAAATAGTCCCAAAGCCTCAATGGCTCAGTATGCCAAAAGTTGATGTTTGCTCATGCTAGATGTCTAGCTTGGGGAGGCAGGGGGATCCAAGCTGAGCAATTCCATCTCAATACGTGTTTTTTATAATTTCCTCAGCAGGGCAAAGAAAATACAGTGAATCGTGCACTGGTTCTTAAAGTCTCTGACTGCAAGGGACACATGTCATTTCTGTTTCTATTTCATTGGTTAAAGTGAATATGTCCACAGCTAATTATAAAAAAGGAAAGGAACTGCACTCCTACCCCATATCCTAAGGAAGAGAATGGGAATACTTGAAACAACCCTAATGATGACTGTGGGGTGTCCAACTGGAAGGACTCTAGCATAACCTTTGTATTTTAGGAGCTCTCAACCAGATCAGTAAGAACTATTTCCATATTTATGTGTCCGGCGGCTGCTCTTACATCTCAAGTGTCTTAATTCCAAAGGTAGTTCTTATAGACAATTATCCAGAGAGAAAAGCAGTAAGTCCGAATTCTTTCCAAGCAGGTTCACTAGATTTTCATCTTTAAAATAAAGAATTCAAAAAATAAATAAATAATAAAATAAAATAAAATAAAATAAAATAAAATAAAGAATTCCATAAAATACAGATACTCATTATTGAGAAATAGCTTAAGGGAGTGACTAATTCTCAGAAGCTTCAGAAATAAAACATGCCTCCAGTTCATGGACACTGACTGTCCAAAGAACCTACTCTTTCTGAGTATTGTCCTTTCTTTCCACCTTTGAGTCACAGAATGGAAGCAGAAGGAATCTGGCGACCATTATGTTCAACATGAACTTCTTCCCAAGACAGAGCATATTGGATCAGAGTGGACTTTTGACCAAAGCTGGGCCAGAGTTTCTTCTTTAAGAATTTGGATGTCAAACTAACAGAAACTATGAGGAAATAGTGGTTTGACTACTTGGTCTCAGTTGTCTGTTGACTAGAGATGTAACTGATATGTTAGTGCTCACTGACTATCCCTATGCTCCTCTCCATTTCCCAGTTTCTCAGGTCCCTTGTTAGAATGGAGCCATGTGACCAAGTTCCAGCCAGTGGAAGAGGGACAGATATGACAAGCCACATTTAGGGTTGGCTGTGGGAAATATCCCTCATCTCCCTCCACTTTCTGTTTCCCCACCACAGTGACCTTGGAGGCCACAAGATCAGTCGGCAGAGCTATAAGATGGAGGGGTGCTGTCTGTTGCATAGAACATTGGGACATGGGTAAGGGAAAAGAATTACAGATTCGGATTTATTTTTTGCTTCAACAAATCCTAGACTCTCCTGGCTAATGTAGAACCAACAGAGGAGTGGCTTTGTTCTGCCAAGAATCTAAGAAAAGCTGATTTACAAAGAGGGAGACAAATGATGTACTTTGTATGTGGCAGAGTTAAGAAAAAGAGTCCCTGGTTCTAATTCCTGGTTCTAATCCCTTCTTAGGGGTAAATCGCACTTCTGTCCTTGGCTTCGGTCATGCCCTGATATCATTATTATAGTAAATGTCCTGTTTTTTTATTAAGCTTGTACCAGAGTTTCTGCCTTTTGCAACCAAAACAAAGCTATAACCTTATAACCTTTATAACTTTTAATATCTCTCGTATCTCAGTGCTTCAGCTCATGCTTTACTCGTTATAGCATGAAAACAACTAACAAGTTAATAGATGTGATGCTGACTTAGATTTTTAATTCCTTCATGCCAGGAATGCCAAGAACTACAG